AATGCTTTTGCTGATGTCTTGACAAAACAAGGGATAAATAGGGAAACATTGTTCTGGGCACAATTGTAACTATTGTTTTAATTTCAACATTCATGTTTTCTCTGTTGTAGTTTGTGTGTTTGCTGTTTGGAGAGGCTGCTCCTCGTGCCTCTAAGGGGATCTTCTTGTATCTATTCATTATTTTAATGGAATTGATGTTATTTATAAAAAAAAATGAATTATCCAAAAAAAAAAGATGAACAATGCATGTAGAGTGTCTAGGAGTACTTTTATAGTTTTCTAAAATCTTACAGTACTCTTGATATACTCCTCGATCTACCCATGACCAGTTTATTGATCAACAAAAAAACTATCCACAACCGGCTGGCAGTAATAAGTAACATTAAAATCTGCCAAATTTATCCTATGATAAATTTCCATTGAGTTGACTAACTAAAATGAGAAAACTAACCTTTTTTCTTCATAATTGAAATTTCAACTCTAGATCACCAACTACTAAACTAAAATTAATGAAACTTTAACAGAGATAACTAAACTCATTAGCAAAACAGCAGGCAGGGTCCATGTGGTGAAACTTTGAAAAATTGACTTGATTGTTGATCACTATTGATAGTCCACAGTTATTATAAATCAAAAGGCAGCTTGATAAAGGCCATCTACTTGTCTGATCAGCCTAATATTTTGAAGCATTATTTTACACTCATTGGATCTAATATTTCCAAAATTCTGCTCAACTAATGGTTGGATTGAGGAAATTGTAGTGCAACTTCTGTAAGAAAGAAGTATTTCAGTGAGGGTTGCGAAATGGGTGAAAACCTCATAGTTATTCTCCTTATAATCTCAAGGAACAAAGTGGAAGAAGGTGATTGATTCTTCTGTAATAAAGAATGGTAACCACCACAAGAGGGTTTCATAAATCTGAAATTTGATGGTAATAGCATGTGAAACACCAGGCAGTCATGTGTAGGTGGGGTGTTTAGGGATGAGAGAAGTCATATAATTACTATGATCTCTGAACTGTTTGGAGTTGGGACTTGGGAACTTATTGAGGGTAGATGTGATGGCTATAGTGGAAGGTCTAAGGAGAGCAAAGGTGTTGAACATACAGAAACTTATTATGGGGGGGGGACTCAAAGGTTTATGGTTGATGAATAATGAAGAAGTTATGTGGGTCTATGGTAGTGAAATTAAAAGATTAAATGGTTGGCAAGAAGTATAAAGGTGCAAGGCATTTAAAGATGAGCTAATTCTTTGGCTGACACATTAGCCAGTCAAGGGGTTATGAGGGATCATATGTTTTGGGAAAATTGTTACTTCAATTGGGTGAGAGACTAAGGTCTCTATAAAATCAGTGTGTGGTTTTGTACATTAAGTTTAAATTGTAATGAAATACTTATCAAAAGAAAACAAACACTTCTGCCTAGAATATGGACTTAAATTTGACGGTTCCTCTTGCAACATTCTCTCGAGTTTCTTCTCTTGATTCTTTGTCATCACTTGCTTAAATACATATGCATAAAAGACTACATTTTATGTGTATGTGTCCTTAGAAGTTATATATGGGTTTGCTTTATTTTCAAAGTAAATAGGAGTGATTTTCTATTCACTTTCCAAGTTGGAATTGGGTTCTGTAAAGGGAGATTCAGCTCTTATATCGATTCTATAAAAGGAGCCATTGGTACTGAATATTTAAATAGTTAGTGTTGGTGGATGAATAAATGTTTAGTTTAGTGAATTCTGCTAGTGGCCAGATATTTCTTCTCTTTCCTATAATACTTCTCTCTATTTTCTTTTCTTCTTTCTTTACTAGTTTGCTGTCTATTTTATAATATATCAACTTCTTTTTCTTCTTCATCTTCCTACAAGCTGTAAGCTATTTAAAGGCATTCTTTTTTCTGCATTCTCACACATGCAGCCCAGATTTTACCATTACACCAAGTAATTAAAAATACTTTCCAATCTAAGTAAGAATAGAAGTGTCGGCTATAAAAATATACTTGAAAAGGGATTACGTTCAGAGAAAAAAAATTGTATTAAAGCAATAAACAAAGGGCAAACTCCATATACCCTTCACACTATGGGGGGTGCATCACTCGATTACCTAAAATTTAGTTTGAGTTGGATTCCCTCTGAATTTTTACAAGAGAAGCAAAGAAGTCCCTCCGTTAATATTCCATCAGAAAAATAAGCGAAAAATGATTGTCTGCATCAGGCAACCAAGCCTTATGGATGTATTCTTTCCTGTCTTGTTCATTTGAACTTTTAAGATGAGAAAGGGGCTTCTTTAGCTTGTTCACATCAGGCAACCATGCCGGAGCACCAAGGTCTGCTCGGCTCATCAGTTGACCAAATTGGATCAGGTGCAGATTACTTGGTAACAGATTCATTGTTTCAAAATCAGATTTACCAAGGAAGCAGATGATAAAAATGATTCAGAGTTATCCCATGCTTCATCAGTTGGAAGCCATCCACAAAAGAACCCATGGATATGTACTTTAGCGTGACTTATCCTAATATTGGATTTCATTACACTCCTACAGAAGTACTTTCCTTTCATCCCTGCCAAAAAGGAGACACACACACACACACACACGTGAGATACTGTCCTTATTGGTGAAGCCTCTGTTATCCACGGTAGCTGGTGACCATTGACCAGCATCAGCAATTACAACAGCAGAGGCAGAGCTCTCATTTCTGTTTCCTCATCCTATTCCCACAAAGAACCTTCTAGAAAGAAGGTAACCCCTGATCCCCACAAGGTCTCAACTGAAATCCCAGTTGCATGTCAATGCTCCTACGAACAGTTTGTTTTGACATTAATGTTCTTTGCAGTGTTGAAATCCTGTCTATTTGCTATGCTGCAAGAAGAGGCTAGATTGGCCTCTCTATACTGTTAATCTCTGCCTTGTTCTCCTTGTATACTGGAATCCTGTTATGGAACTACCTAGACAGCAATCCTGAGCTTGAGACATGTCCGGCCATTGGACAGGATGCTTTTGGTACCATCAACTGTTACTTTATATCCACAGTTCTGTATGTGGAGTTGTACATTTGTAATAAACTGTTGACTTTGTTAAACTACACTAGAGGCTTATTAGGTTAATGCTCTGATCTCCAACTCCAGTAGTACTCGGAGTCTTCTTCTTCAGTGGTGAGACAGCAAATTTGAGCTCTTCTTCAGTTTTTTTTTTTTTAAATTGATTTATGCTGTTAGCACATCTTGGGCTGTGAAAGTTTGTGTGGGTGGGGGGGTGGAGGGTTATATGGAATTTACCCTAGAGCAAATTGTTTTGACCATATCGTTTTATAGTTAGATAGCTAACCCATGTCACTGTCATTGGATAGATCTGAGTCCTGCAATTTGGCTATGTAGGCTTTGTGCAAAGCTATTTCCAATACTGTGTTATGGGGGATTTAATTTAGATTTTGTTTGCAGTTAATCAAGTCACAAGTGTTGTCTCTAGTGGTGATGATATGCTGATCTCTTAAAATATCCTTCTCATTTATGTCCCTGTAAACAGATGGAAGCAGAGTAAAAACTGAACAAAAACTGGACCAGTACTTCTAGTGCATACCATTTAATTCCACCCAGCGCAAATGCTATTCATTTTTAAAACAAACAGTCTGCCTTCAATACATTAGGCAATGCATGTTGGTGTCTCATTTGTTGCGGACAGCTTGTGTCTGAAATGGGAATGTTCAATATTCATCCCTGGTGTTTAATGGATATCCATTGGAGAGGTGTCAATTAGGCATTAGCCAAAGTACCAACACAAACCAGTTATCTTATCCATAAGAAAGATCTTGGTATTGTGGGTTAAGACACCTTCAAACCTGGGTTGTAGCCTTATAATTATTTTGAAGTTTTATGTTTAAGTTTATTATTTAATGACATTGGCTTATGTTTAAGTTTATTATTCTCTTCTTTCTTGTCATTTTGTTATTATTTGTGCAATTATGTAAAATTTTGTTTTGAAGCTTTGCATGTGTCTTTTATTATTATATTAATTATATTAACCTGTATGATTTTTTTTTTACTTTGATTTATGCTTAAAATGTATATAATTTTTTGGTTTTTTTTTTGAATTTTTGTGATAGAAAGAAGGAATGTCTGTTCAAGCAGAGAGGCTGAATTTTCTCCGTTTTCTTTCACATTTTCGAGCTGTTCATCGAGGAGCTTCATTTGCAGGACTTCGCACTACAAGCGTACGGAAATTGCTTCCAGAGTATGGTTTGTCATGCTAATCTATTTAAGAGTTTGATAATGATTTCTATATTGTAATCTTGCTAGTTATGTTTTCAGAACTTGGGGGTTTCTTTGCCCTGTTCACACACCTGATGGAGAGCCATGTGGTTTGCTGAACCATTTGACTTCTACTTGTCGTAAGATGATATCTTCCTTTTGTAGTTTATTTCTTCTGTGCTGTTATTTTTTCTCATGCATTTTGAGGTTTCAATGTATTTCCATAGGTGCAGTACCCTTCTGCTTACTTGCATACTTTGTACAACTAAATGTTGTGAATTATCTCCACTCCCCCTCTACTCAAAGCAAAGACAACTAATATATAATATATAATTCCCTAGCTGATGGTTTAGCTAAACAAGGGGCAGAAAGGGATTCACTGTTTTGGGCTAAGCTGCAACTTTAGTGTTTTTTTTTTTTTTTCTTTTTCTCCTTTTTTTGAGGTTCTTTGTTGCTTTTGGAAGATAAGTGTGTTTGTCTTCCTCTTGTAAATCTTCTATTGATGATTTAATGAAAGTGTTATTGATAAAAAAAAAAACCTTCATGTGGAGTATATAATAATATGGTTACACCCAAGCATCACCCCATATAGTTGGGATAAGTCATGGATGATGGTCATGATACTCATAAGCATCACTATTGGTTACTATGTAGTTCCATATTTAATTCATATGCATTTTTCATTATAAATCTCAGGAATCACATCCTACTTTGATTCACATGGAAATGTGAAAGATTTTTTCAAAATTCGGATGTCCATCCTGAGTGTTTTAATTGGAGTTGGAATGATGCCTTCTCTGCCAAAGCTTGTACGAGCTGGGCCACCTGAAGTTCTTTCTGTTCTTTTGGATGGGCGTGTAGTTGGCTCTATATCTTCCACTGAGGTTGAAAATGCTGTTGCACATTTACGGAGGTTAAAGCTTTCAGCATGTTCGGGGGTCTGTATTTATTTGGTTTTGGAGAGTTCACTGTTTTTTGAATCTGTTTCCCATTTGCTTTCATTCTTATATAATTAATTGAATGACGTTGCAGATTCCCAATGATCTGGAGGTTGGGTATGTTCCGTTGACCATGGGTGGAGCATATCCTGGCTTGTACCTTTTCACATCTCCATCAAGGTTTGCTCGTCCAGTTAGGAACATTTCTGTTTCTTCAGAGGAAGGCCAGGATATTGAACTTATTGGGCCATTTGAACAGGTCTGTTACTGATCTTTAGTTACATTTTCTTATAGCATTAATGAAGGGATGGGATATCCATCACATGGACGTCCGAATCTTGAGGAAGGGATGGGGCGAATTTCAAAAATTTTTCCTATCTTTGCAGGGAATCGAATTCCCTATTTCAGAAAACATATTTTCAAGGATCAATCTTGAATCAAGAATCAAATCATATCTGAACCAAAAGTAGTAGAAGGGAGGATATACCTGATACAGAGAATCAATATCTTCCAATGGAGATGTTCACGCCCAAGGAAGGATCCAAAATCTGCTCCCACTGGAAATG